AGGCAGATGGCGGTCAAGGCCAAATACTCATCCACCAGAGACAGTCCAAGGAAGCCGTAGCCGACGCCGACCGACGGAGCTGAAGCTGTGTGAGACGGCGGCGTCATGATTTAGGCCAAGAAGGAGTAGAATGAGTGACAAGGGCCACTCGTAGATGTTATTTATAAGCTGAGGGCTCCCTTTAAAATCCTATATGTCATAGAACTAGGACTTTCACGTTTTAATTAACCAAGCTTTATTTAATATCTTTTAGGAAATAACTTTTTGAGGGGGCTTTCAATTCTCTTATTTGAAAAGTAAACAGATTTTATTATTTAAATTTTTATAGAGGGGGCTTATTGAACTACTTAATTAATTAAATGTGGTGCCAAACCGAGCATAGCAAGATTAGAGATTGGTAAAAATTAAACCTTCAAACTTTCATAAATAAAAAAATTAGACCCCTACACTTTCAATGGTAAAAATTGAATCCCCAAATTTTCAAAAGTAAGAAAATTGGACCTTCTAAATTTTCAATGGTAAAAATGAAACCCTAAATTAAAAATAAATAAATAAATATCTTAGGATGGAACTTTGCTGCCTCCATTAATGTCAGTCCTCTTGAACAAGAAGTTGAAAAAAACTTGCAGATTTTACAAAGAGAAATTTCTTCCATTAAATCATCAGGAACTTCTTTTGGCCCCAATCTGGCCTCTGGTTTCTTAAATTAAATTATCAGGAACTTCTCCAATTCTCTCTCTCTTTTCTAATCATTTTAATTTGTAGTTTTTGGAACTTGAAAGTCGTGTTCATCTCGAATAGATCTAATTTAAAAATTTAAATTTACCCTTACAAATTTAGAGGGTGCAATTTTTTCAAGTTGGGAGAGTGTAAGAGTTTAATTTATTGAAAGTTTATATGTCTAAATTTTTCGAGGTTTAATCTTTACCATTAAAAATTTAGAGGTTTATAATTGTAACAACTATAGGGCTATTCAAGTGGTTTGTGCAATTTACCCTTCATTTTTATTTTTATTTTTTAATTAGAAAATACTTTTTTTACCGGAGCGTCCATCATTTAATATAAAATATTACTAAATTTTTTTTCTTCGATATCCATGTGATGGGATCATTTGCCAACATGAACATAATTGATAATTAACACTACACCTTTTTTCTTAGGTTGGAGATTCAAACTCTCATAGTTCCAATTTAATGTACTAAAAAATAATATAATAAATTCTATTTTAAAAAGTTCATTGATAATAATTAATAGTAACAAAGTAAAATATAAATTTATAATATTTTATAAAAAATCACATCCACAAAATTTATATTAGAAGAAAAATTATTAGTAATATAAATAAAAAAGAAATAATAAAAATATAAAAAAAAACTAATTAAATATGTTATCATGTTGTAAAATAAATCTAATAAATATGTGAGTCCACCACGGACGAATAGAAATAAGATTGAAAAAATTGATTCTCATTCCCATTCCCATTGAATTTCTTCTTCACCCTTTTTTATCTGGGAGAACTGTTATTTTACATTGATGAAGTAGCCTAAACATCTCAAATTAACAGATGAAATAAGAAATGAAATAAGAAATTCTCAGACAACTTCAGAAGCTGAAAAGTGAAAACTAAATACCATTCTTCCCTAAAAATCTCTGGCAGGCAAATCATATTACAGAACTATCTACATTGTTACCTTTGTTCAGTAAATGTAGAACATATATGAATTGGAAGAATCTTCCTTATCCCAAAAAGAAGGAATGAGAATAAGAGAAGTTTGCCTTGCTCGGTTTCACCTTAATTAATCTTGAGTTGCTGCTCCTTGGTTAAGCTCAGCAAACCTCATGCCCACACGCATCGAATGCTTTAGGAACTTCTCGGCACATCTCCGAACGCAGGTCTCTTCTTGCTTTTGCAAAGATTTGTGTTTGAATGTGTCGACACAGTCATTGAAGCACCTCTCAACAAGAGAATTATACATCCTCAAACTGTAAGCAAACATACAACGATGAAGTTTGTTTCATTCTATGAAACTGGAAAGAAGCACCATTTGCTGCTTGATTATTACAAAATCACATAAATAAACCACTACATTATTTACTGAATAAACATTCCCTGGTAATAACAAGCAGGGTTAAGACAGTTGACTTCTCTAGATATTATGATGGGAAGAATTAGAGAGATCGATGGGGAGAAAAAACAGAATGATGCGGGCGAAAGTAGAAAGGCAGGCTCGAAGCAGAAACTAGGGAGATACTGGAGACTCAAAGTTCTCCTAGTCTGTACTCTCTTTCAATACAATATAGTGGCTGAGTTCTATCATAGTATGCAAAAAAAAAATTAGTTCAAGAGCCATAGAAATACATCAGTTTCTCTTCCCTCTAGTATATTACCAAGCAATTTTCACCTTTTTTATTGAGATACACATCCATCAATATACATTTATTCAGTACAGATTTACCTTACAAGGGTGGTGGCAAGGCAAATTTTTTATAAGATACAAAATTTGGACTTTTTGGTTGCTTCATAAATAATCCAAAAGTTAGAACAACAAAAATTGGATGCATTTCATTATTAAATTGTTAAACAAAATCATACAAACTAGTTGTTTACCTCATTTCCACCTCTCAAAAAATCATGGAAGAATATGGGCGTGTTTGGGAGTGATGGTAGAATTGGTGATTTAGAAAAAAGATACTGAACTATAATTGATTTTTCAAAATCACCATCAAGTGATACTTTAAAAATCAATTTAAAGTCATTTTAAACTTTCCTAAAATCAACCTTTAATTTACCAAACACGATCATGGAAAAGAAAGTGATTTTGACCATGCCAAAATCACTTCCAAACACACCCTAAAACCGGAAACAAATTCAGATGAACAAAAATAACATGAGGCAAACCATAGTTTGAGCCATTCCCACAACAAATTTTCTCTCTCAACTACCAGTTTAAATTAATACAACTGCAACATAATGAAGAGCTATTGAATAACAAAGATACTGGTGCTCAATTCCACAAGAATTATAGGTGGATTATGAGGACGCAAAGCACTTGACAGATAAAAAGAAATTAAAAAAAAAAAGATTTGTCTCAGAAAATTTAGACGGTTTTTCTCAGCAGTTCAATAAGATGCGAGGATTCAAGTGAAGCTAAAAATAAATCAATCTTGAACTGAAAAATGTTGTTCCCAAAACGTCCAGATGCAACACATCAGTTGAACTGGTTTTAAGGAGAACGTTCTTTGGGCTTCACAAATTAAGTCACGAGAATTGGAAAACGTTATGTGACTCATCTCATCTAAAGATATATTGGGAAGCCATAGTCTAAATTTTAACAGAGTAATAAACCACAGATCTGCACGCAGAAGCAGAGACTCGCACCTGCATTGGAAGGGTACAAAATTCCAGGTCTCATAGATTACATTCCTCGATTACTTTCCTCATTGATTCCAAAAACTAAATCAAACTAAGAAACTAAAAGAAAAAAAAATTAAACGAAAGAAAATTTAGTTCAACATACGAAAGCTACCAACCATTCTTGGTAGATCATTCGGAACTAAATTTCAGATCCCTTGAACACCAAATTCACAAATCAAAGGACAGAGAATACGAACTGTAATCACAAAAAGGTGCATATAAAAGAGATTGATTCCAAGAGAAGACGACTAAAATGAAAAATTCTGAAGGATGCAGAAAGAGAGAGAGATGAACCTATCACGAACTTGAAGCTGGTCGATCATGGAGGCCATTCTGAGTTTATCTTCCTCCGGAAGAGAATCGAGATCTCCTAACATGCTCTTATCCATGCTGGAAATGATTTTCCGACCGCCTGTACGAGTCGATCTCTAGGGTTTCTCTCTTGTTCTCTGCACTTAGGCTTGGACCAATTTATAGTTCGCAAAACCCTAAAATTGGGACTTTTTCGAAGAGTAAGTATTTATATTAATAAAAAAACAACAACAAACAACAAACAAAATAAAATCACAAAAAACGATTGGTTCTCGAATTATTTAAGCTGTGGTTGGTAAATATGAAAATAGAAATTTAAAAACAATAAATTAAATAAAAAAATGATTGTATTTTAAGTTATTAGTGTTTTCGAATATCTGTTTAGTAATAGAGTTAGATGATGAATCTCAATTTACCATTTAAAAAATGGTTGAATGTGTTTAGTAATATATTTGCAAACTAACTGTAGTTACCTAATTACTAATTAAATATTTAGTCTTAATTAGTTTAATAAATTTTGTGTAATTATTATTTTATAATATTATATAATTTATAATATATTATATTTTACATTTTACATTTTAACAAAAATAAAATGAGTCTAGGATTTTCGAATGCCTTGGCAGGAGAGTGCTCTCAGTTCGTGACTGTCCTTCACGGTTAGCAAGATGACATCAAAATCTCTTCTAGATGAATGGCAAAAACTCAGTCGTATATCAGAAGAGGAGGAACTTGTTGTGGATGTTGACAAAGAAGTGGAGAAGATTACCGGGAAGGCTCTTAATCACAATCTTATTGGAAAACTCCTGGCCAATCGTTCCATTTCAGGTGATGTGATGCGGAATACTATGCGGCTAGCATGAAAGCTAAATAACAAAGTAGGGGTGGAAGACATTGGCAAGAATTTGTTTCTATTTCATTTTGAGCGAGTGATCAAGAGAAACACATTTTATAGATCTGGACCATGGTTGTTCGATAACTTCCTGCTCATTCTAAACGAACTGAACACAACGACAAAGTCGGATGAGATGACTTTTCACAAGGTAATGTTCTGGATTCATTTTTACAATCTTCCCCTTGGATGCAAGAACAAAGGAACGGATGTGAGACTGACTAATACGATTGGAACCTACGAAGATATAGATTGTCAGGGTGAGGACTCCTGTCGAGGTGAAAGAATGCATGTGCATATTGGTATAGATATTACAAAACCACTTCATAGAGGAATTAAACTTAACATTGATGGGTCTATGGGTGGATGTTGGATTCCGATGAAATATGAGCGCTTACCAAGTTATGCTCATATTGTGGATTGGTGAGATATGTCGTGAAGGATTGTGATATTTTCTATCTGCATACCCAACAGAAAGAAAATTGTATGGAACAGTATGGACCATGGATCAAATATTAGGACAGCTTCAGGTCCAATTCTAAGCATAACCGAAAGGCAAAAGATGGAGTTCATGTAGTCAGAGACAGATCGGCGTCACCACATAAGGATTATCATTCAGAAGGCACAAACAATGAGCATGATAGTGAGAAAGATTCTCAAGCACCTTGCAGAACGTCTGGCAAACCTCTTTGCCATTATTGTGAAAGGGCCAAAAACGGAAACAATGAAAGGAGTATTAAATGGCGGGTCTGCCACCAAAAATCAGGACCTCCTAAGAAGGCAATAGAATTGAGGAAGCAACCTCAGATTACGGGGCAGATTATGACAGCTATAAATAAAGATTCATATTTGGGGAAGCAGCCTTTGACTTCAGAATCTCCCATCAATATCCTAGGAAGCCCCACGTTACTTTTAATTCTTGAGATCTCAACAAAGATATTACTATACCAAGAAATCTTCGAGATGTTAAAGCCGGAATGGAAACAAATATCAAGGAAGGTCGTGAAAATGTGAAAATATGGAAAAAACACTCACGTGCATACGTCAAAGAGAAAAGTATGGAAGAGATTGTTAGAAAAAATAAACAGAACAAAACTCAATGAAACAAGAATTCTATTTTAACACACAACCACAACAACAAAACCAATGAAGAAATAATATTAATCAGAAAATAAGGGGTTTTAGAAAGCCTGTGTATGAGTTGAGGCGCGTTGATGAATGCTGTCTTTAGAGAGACGTGCCCCCACTTACACTGAGTTGTTCAGCACTCCACTCCCAAGATACAACACCCTCCAAGAGACCTTGTGTGCAGCTAAGCTCTCTCATGAATCCCAATTAACTTGTATGCTCAAAAAGACAAAAGAACGGTTTTGGAGAAGAATATGTGAAGCTCGTGTTTATTGCCCCTCTTATATAGTATTTGAAGAGACTAAAAATAGATTTTTCTAATTTAAAACTTAACCAACCTTGGTAAATCACTCTCTGGCATGAGGGAAAAACAAAACAATTTTCTAATAAAATAATAACCAATTAGTCAAACTTATAAAATCTTTTAATTTTCCAACAATCCCCCACATAATTAAAGATTTTCTACAACTTTAACACAAATTTGTTTTCATTGTGAAAGAAAAAAAAAGAACATTCTTACTATGTAATAGGTGTATGTACCTCTTGGGTTTGAACCTTCACTTAGTGTAAGTAAATGTATATTTGAAAGAACCATAGTGAACTAAGTCTTGAACTAGATCTTTGAGTCAAATTTCTACTTACCCCACACATAGTACAAAGCAAGTTTGGGATTCTAGTTGGTTTTGCGCCTTGGACGGTCAGGCGCACATATCCTGTTTTCATGAGTGTTTTAAGGTGTAGCCCAAACACCCATTGTGGCGACCTGATAACTCTCCAAAAGAGAGTTATTTTATTAATAATTTGGGTTGATTTGTGCTTTAATGTGAGAGCATTTGTCTAAATTGTATGAAGTGAGGAATTGAATGAAAAAGTTTATTACTATGTTATAAATCCTCATGTTGCTGAATTTACGTAAGTTCCAGCTTATTTTCCCTATTTTGGCTTAATTTTGCAGAATTTGAAAAAGTTGCTGATGAGTAGTAAAATTAGAGGAGAAGTGCCAGAGCATTGCCAGGCTAGGGCATATCATGCTAAAGCATCACTTGCTGCATAAATTCTTGGGCAGCGCAATAACACGCAGGATTTTTACTCATGTTCGTACAACGCGCATTTTACTGAGTTTTGCCCGAGTTTTCGGTGGAGTTATAAAAGCAAAAGATGTGGGATATCTCTTCATAATTCCCCAAAGGGGGAATAGATCCCAAGAGAGGAAATACAGTGCTAAAGTCGAGGGAAAGCAGACCCATTTCGAGGAGGAGCTGACAAAAGGAAACTGAAGCCACTAGTTTTCTCATTGAGCTAAAGGTTTCAAAGGATTTCCTGGAGCTTTTTCATGAAATGGGTTATTTCTTTTCTTTATCCATTATATTCTTCCCCTTCCCCATGAACTAAACCTCATTTTCGGGGGAGATCCCTTGCTGTAATTTGTGAACAGAGGCTTTCTAGTATGTTTTTGCTGCTGCTAAATAGGGTGGTTATAATATTTATCTTACTAATCTTTGTCGGCCGCATCTATCACATTGCTTGCATCTTGTATGACTCAGAAGGGTATATAGGTAGCGTGTTTTTTGCTCTATATTTGTGGTTAGTTACTCTTTTCTAGTAAGTCTATGGATGCTTAGGAATAATATATGTGTAACCATGCTTATAAACTGGTTTTTATGCTCAAGTATTTAGTAACGGAAGTTGTAGATATTCATGTTTAGGCGTCTCGGAAGGGAACCACGTCAATTTAAGCATCAACATACGATTTTATGCTATGCTAGAACATCTTCTGTGAGCAAATGGAAGCATATAGTGATCCTCTCATACTCATACCATTGTCTGTTTCCCCATTCTGTTTGTTATGCTAAAGCATCTCTCCGCCCCAACATCATTAATTTACAGTATTTCTCTTTTCGATTTCCTTTATTCATTTTTATAGCATTTTACTTAGTTTAGTTATACAAACACTCATTATCCTTTATTTGCATGTTTGGTATCCTTAAACACATGCTTAGAGTAATATCCTTAGTCCTTGTGGATACGACCTTGTTTATACTACCACTGACGAATATCGTGTACACTTGCACTTGCATTCACATCAGTTGTGGACATGCAATACGATCCCACCACAACACTCATATAAGTGAAACCTCTAAGGGTTGTTTGTGATCAACACCCTGCATAATACATGCTTTGGTTTCATTCAGAGTTTAACTCTTCCTTATCATCACAATTATGAGCACTACCACCACAAGAATGAGACTCGGAGTATTCTTCCATTATTATAACTAGTGCTCTCATAGTCACACTTCAACTTTGTTAGTACCCATTGAACCTCTTCCATTGGATCTCCAATCTTCGAGATTGAGTGTCCATTGTGGTGACTATCTTATGGACTTTAGTCCCATTCCCTTTGATGCTTCAATAACTCGCTTGCGCACTAAGCCTTTTGTAAACGGATCCGTTAGGTTATCTTTATAACATCATATGCAATATCGGGTCTAGTTCAATTAGCTAGATACATCAGTGAGCCAATTATTTAAGAATATTCATGTTGTGATATAGGTTTCCTATATTCTCTTTCAGCTTTGAATTTGGATCATAAGGTGTAGGAACATGACTCAAATCAAAATAATCAAATTTTTTTAATAAATATTTCACATAATGTGATTGAATCAATATAAATTCACTATCCATTTTAATCAATTTAACACCCAATATGAAATTAGCACGACCTAAGTCTTTCATGTCAAAATGATTTGACAGAAACTCTTTTATTTCATTGATAACATTCAAATTAGTGCCAAAATAAGAATATCATCAACATACAAACAAATGATAATACAAGTATCTTCTAACTTTTTGATGTAAAGACATTTTATTAGAATCATTAATGAGAAAACCATAAGAAATAATCACACTATCAAATTCTCATGTCATTGTTTAGGGGCTTGTTTTAGTCCATAAAGAGATGTAACCAGCTTATGAACTTTATGTTCTTGACATGGTTTTATAAACCCCTCAGGTTGTCCCATATAAATTTCCTCTTATAATTCACTATTTAAAAAGGTAGTTTTAACATCCATCTGATGAATTTCTAATTTCAAAATAGAGGCATTGGCTATCAAGATTCTAATGGTAGTCATTCTAGCGACTGTATAGTAAGTGTCAAAAAAGTTT